TAATTTGATTTGAAGGTATGTCTATGAAAATATTTGTGATAAGTACGTTTATAATTTTAACGAAGGTGAGCAATAATTACCTGACAATCTTCATATTTTTTATTTGCATAATGTTAACAAATTAGAAAATAAAACAGTTTAATTTAAACTATTGATTTTATGAAAATTAAGGTATTATAATTTTAATTATTGTGTAAACACAATTATGGATTTGTATGTTGTAAATGTTATTAATAATACATTGAAGATTGCCTGGTTTTATATTTAATATTATTTTAATATTCTGTGTATTTTAATAATTTTTCAGCATTCTCAATATGTCAACATTGTGGTTTAGAACTTGATGTAGGCTGTTCAATTGAATAATTGAATCAGAACAAAACGATATGAATGAATTATTATTTTAGTATTTACTTGTTTGTAGTATTGTATTGATTAACTGGTCCTTTAAAGTTTAAATGTATTTAATGATAACAGTTACTCGAGATTAGTGAGAAGAACATTTATTATTTAGTTGAAAAAGGCTAATTTCGATCAAATATACTGCCATGATAAACTTTCTTTTGATGATAATAATTTTGTTAAATTTAATTCGCTGAACATTGTGGATTTTGTAATTTTTTTTTTTTAAAACTTAAATTATTGTATTGAAAACAACTATTTTTTTGGCCAATAAATCATAATAATTTCATTGACGCTGATAAGTTGATTAAATTCTAACACGTTTTTAAAATAATTTTAAATTATAAAAGCATCAATTTGAAAAAAATATTTTTAATATTTAACTTATCAAAAGTTTTTCATATGATTATCTTTAAAATTTTAAAATAGCCTTGTAAGTAATAATTTTATTTTAATTCCAATAAGAGAAAAACCATTTGTTAAATTATAGTCGTTTAGTTTCTAAATTAAGAATTCAAAAATTTACTCAACCAACTAAATTTCGATTTTTACAAATGTAATTTAAATTTTTAATTGAGTTTAAAAATTAAAATTAATTTAAAAAAAACCAAATTAACTTGTTTAGTATATTCTTGTAGAAATTTAAAAAAAATGATCTATTTTCTTTGTTACATTTCACAAGTATACTTTTTATATTTTTTCAATATTTTGAAATAATAGGTCCTAAATGTTTAAATTATCTAACTTTTGTTATAAGTTTTTATATATTTATAGTACGAGAATATGCTAATAAATAATCATTAAATGTTGAATGGTAATGACTAATGTTATATCATTCAAAAAATTTCTTAGTTTAGCCTGCGGTTCTATAAAGAGTTAGAAATGAAGTTTCTGTTTTAAATTTGTTGAGCGTCGAAAACTTGTTTGGAATAAAATCGTTCGTGATTCTTATGATTTTCGAGCAAACAAAAAGGGGCGTACTGAGATACAAAATAAAACATTATACTAAGACCCCAAGCGTTGTACTGCAAGCCCTCTATTATTTTTCTAACTTAGTAACATTTGCTGCTTAATTAATAATCAGCAGATAAATGTATTAATCGACAATATAGGTCTCACTTTTAACTCTTCATGAACCGAACGAATTAATATAAAAATGTGTTTGAATATGATAAGTACCAATATTGTTTTCTATACGTTATTGGATGTACATTTATTTTTAATTAATTAATATATATCGTACCGTTACGATTTATTCATGTAAATTATGGGTTATGTAATTTATTAATATTATATTTTATCGAATGGCATGTCTATTTAAATTAAAATAATGTATTGTGCATAACGGGTTCGAATTTATATTAAAATGAATACTTAATTATACTTGACTCAAGAATTTTTATTATAAATTATGTTTTTAATTACGTGATTACGTGTTCGAATGTTAACATTAATTTTGGCGTTCTTCCGCCATTTCAGAAAGAAAACATATTGATTGTGTTTCTGCGTAATAATATAAAATATTAAAATGTTGTACGTATGCTAAAGAAAATGTGTTAAAATATTAAAAGCGTTATAAAATACAAGGCCATGATATTTATTAACAACCACTAAAGTTTTCAATTGGAACATTTGCTTTGACTCTATTTTCTAATTTTTTTCTTCAAAATAATAATTCATTAAACGTAAACTATTCATGTCTTTAATGGTGACTATTGTTTTTTTTTTTTTTTTTTTTTTTTTTTTTAAGAATAAATGTTAATTTTTTTACAGAAAATTTTAGGATTTTTTTAAATTCGGTATAACAATATTGTTTGGTTTTCGAATAAATACATTTTGTAATTATTATTACATTACAGGTTAATATCTTGGTTATATATAATATATCTATGGTGGATGGTCAGTAAAATTGCTTCATAGAATTATTCGTTTTTGTAAATATCTTATATATGATTATTTTTCAGTTACGTGCCGGTAATTAGAGCGTGAAAAAAATTGTTTTCGATCTTTAAATAATAGTCTTATTTTGGTTATAATGTTTGACGTGTATACACCTACATCACGTGCAATATTATTATTTAATATCACATTTATCACATTTTAGTTTCTATCAAATCTGATGGATCACAAAAATAATTAAATATACCTATTGCCAGAGATGTTATTTTGCGCGTTATAAAATGACGTTGGAACTGTTGTGGTAAGTCTAAAGATTAAAAAAAAATATTCGTTGCAGTGATAAAACAGTCGTGTTCGGTGTTGTCTTAAGAGGCGTTAACAGAAATATATTTATAATATATACCTTAAATGTATTAATAATATATTATCAATCTTGGAAGATATTTTTATAAACACTTCAAAAATTTTAAAATTAAGTATTGAAATATATATATAATCCGAATGATTGCATTTTTTATCCACGTGAATAATATTGTTGGCATCTTATTACGAATATTAATTATTAAGTAATAAAGTATCTTTTCTTTACGTTAGTCTGTAACTTATTTAAAAAAAAAAGTTGTTTTTAATATTTTTCAATTCAAATTTTAGTAATTTAAATTACTAATTCAAAAAATGTCTAAACATATAAGTTTTGTGTAGTATACTGAATAATTAACGTTTTTTTTATAACAAGTTATTATTAGTGAATACTTTTTGTGTGCAATAAATGTTAAACATATTAGAGTTTAACGTAACTAAGAAGAAAGAAGGGAGAGGGTTGGATAGTTCTAATGTTTTTTTTTTCAAGATTATATTATATTACACAGCCCTATCCTGGCCTAAGTCAGTGTGGCTAAATATCACGTGGTTAGGGCTATATCTATTGATTGTGATGCAGTTTGAATTTTGTTTATATTATTGTAATTTGTTAGTATTTGATGTTTACTTGATGTGTAAAAATATGTTGACGTATAGATACTCTTACTAAATTTTAGCGATTAACGAAGACGTTTCCCGCCCATTTCTTGATTAGATAACTAAATAAGTTTTGCAAAATTCAGTCAAGGATGATCGGGTCTACATTTTTATGAATATATTTACATTTTTTATACTTAAATCATCGTTTATTTTGTTGAAAATGTAGGTTAATAATTAAAAAAAAATGTTTTAATTTATCAAGAAAGTAACTATTAAGTGATAAAAATCATCTGTTTACATATTAAAAAAACTATATTTTTTTATGAACACATACTATAATAATATATATTAATATTAGCTTTATCGTGTTTTTATTAATGAGTTATGACCTAGCTCTTAATTTCAAACTGGTGTATGCCTGCAATCTCGTGTTAATCGGTTGGTAGGAGGTATATAGGTATCTAATTTTATATATTACCTAGAATAGTGAACTATACATTATCAAATATTATTTTCAATTTAAACATACAATATTTATATTATATATTCTATGGCGTACCTAGCTAAATAAAGTAAATACATTTTCGAAGTTTTATTTTTTTTATCAATAATTTGGTTTCTCGATAAGACATCGTCTTATACTTAATACACAAATATACTGTAAAGTGTATACATAAATATTTTTTATTAATGTAAAAATTATTTCCATGGCGTGGAATGATGCTCAAACGAGAAGTACGCCATTGTATACATTTGTTAAGTAACCAAACGAAAATTCTACATTTTTGTCACAATTTATCATCGCGCAAATTTATCATCTTTCGCCTCTGGGTGTCTTTTAGTAAATTTTTTTACCAGATGATCTCGATCTCAAATAAAATAAATAGCTTCTAAAAATGTCTCAAGAATGACTGAGATAATGCTGAGATTTTCCAATTTTTATTGTGTACGTATTATTATCCTCACGGATAGCTGTGTCTTATCTGCAACCACTATCAGTCGTAGTCGTAAGTATCATATATGTCTAAGTAGAAATGAATACAAAACTAGCACCTTAACGAAAACATAGAAAATCTAAACATCAGATTAATTTTTAATCGGCTTGTTTTGAATTCTGTTTTGGAAACAAATTTGCATGAGTAATTATAACATAAATGGTTTCGTGGTGTAATTCAGGTGTGCATTTCGCACATTTGTGATTTAAATTCATCAGACTATTCGTGGATTAAGGTTTTTACTTGACCATGGTTTTGACCTATAAATTGAGTCACGCGACACGATTTACTGCCGTTACACATAATATATTACGTATATATAAATAAAAAACCACCCTCTCCCAAAGGTATTGTAATGTTCTAGGCCATCTTCTTCATATAATATACTTATCTTGAACTTTAAAGATCTTCGTATTAAATAAATATGTTTCCCATTATATACAGTGGCGTATTTAAGGTGCAAAAGAGGCTATAAATGGATGCTCTTTCGCGTTGGACCTTGGGTTATTTTTAGTATTTTATAAAATTTTGAAATTAAGTAAAGTAATAAAATAAATATCACTGATATAAAGTTCAGGAAGTCGATAATTACGGAAGATTTTAGATACGCCACTATATTAAAATGTTGAGATATTTTACACTCGCTACCTTCGATGACGTGCTTACGCGTGTCTATATTTTGTCCAGATATCAATATAAAATTTATTAACACGTTTATTGGTTTGTTTTATATTTAATTTTCAGGCTCATCTATGTGTAGCTTTCGGTTAACTGTGTCGTTTCCCCGAAGAAATCAATCGGAGTAATGAACTATTGTTGATGTGGAATCATGGAATAAGTCTGTGCCACCCATGTACGTGTATTATGTATCACAGAGTGGTCATACGCGCATAGTTCTACATTGCGTTACTGTAACGGAGGTATTGATTTTTGAAATATTACACTTAAGCTTCTCCACCTTAGCCATATCACTGCAGTATGCTATCCAATGCACCATTACAAGGTATTCACTTAATTAAACTAAAAGGATTACAAAACCTCGAAACCATCCTTCGCCCTTCCATGTAAATAAATACCACCGCAGACTACTGTAGGATGAATGTGTCTACAGCACGAAACCCCATTGTTGGCAATGGTTTATCAACTTTTTTATGTTTTTTATAATATACTTTTTAATCGCCCCTCTATTTCACAAAGGTCGACCCATAAATGGGTGTGCCAAATTTTACTCTTTTAAAAAATAAATTTGGCAATGTTAACCTTTTGAGATATTTATGATTTGATTTATAATAATATTTTATTTTTTTGTTTTAATCCTGTAGCTACCTAAATTGATGGGGTGGCGCGTACGTCATACATTGTTTGGGCTCAAACCAACAATGGACCATTTGCAGAGGATGCTGATTAGCGAGAAAAAGACGTAAAAAATGTTTTATGACAACTTATATCAATTGAAGACTTTCAATAAAGTAAACATTTCTTAACATAATCAATCTTCTTTAATATTTTATTTCCTTTCATGTTCCATTAAGCAATCCGTCAAATGTCTGCATTCAACATTTATTTATACCCCAATAGACTACCGTGGTTGTTCCGTAGTTGTTGGCTAAAATGCGGATGTTGCAGAATAAGTTAATTTATAATAGAACAAATGTATTCACATAACATAATATATAGACTAAAAGCTGAAATTTATTCGTCCACTAATTATTCAAGTTGAAACGATTTACATAGTTCATTCTCAAAAAATTTAAATAAAATTACTAAATGTTTATTATGTTTTTGAAATTTTAAAATAATTTAATTAAGGGTCATACAAATGCATCAATAATGAAAATATAATCAAGCTAAACGAATTGAAACTAAAACCTAGTATTTGGAGGGGAGGAGACTTAATTATTGGTATATTATATTTGTGCATCAGCGCAGAATGTATTATTAGTTAATATGTATAGCCATTTAGTATTTATCACGGTTCTTAATACTAGAAAGAACTATTAACTAACACAAGCGATGTCTGGGCGAAGCGCAGAGGTTTCTACATTTTTAAGAATATGAAAAATTAAAAAATAAGAACTATCACATCATGAAGACTATCCTGATACTAGAAATTAATGATTAAAAAGTATCAGTTGCAATACGTTTAAAATAATATCTTCCGGGCATGTTTGTTGGTTAGTGGTCGTCTCGGGAAAAAGTGACAACTATTTAATAACCCACCCCATACATCTTTAATTACTTGTGAGTTATAACCGATGTTAGGATATATTTATTCGCCGAAATATCTTATATAATATAAAGCACAGCACTAGTGAAGAATATGGATCAGAAACTACCATTTTACTGTTCGTTTTTATAATGTAACTCAAACGTGTTAGCAACCACGTATTAAGGTCTCCTGGAAAACCGGAAAGAAATACCAATGGTTTTTATTTTTATTTATTAACATCCCTAAAGGTAAGGTACAATAATATTACACAATAATTTTTGATAAAAGATAAACAGATATCTTACAATTAATTAAAAATGTACGATTATCATTTGACAAAAAATCACAGTTAAAATCATAATTGACAAGTTCATTACATGAATTAAACAAGTGGCAGATTGGACTATTTATTACGTAATTTCTAGTAATGGGAGGAACTTAAACTTGATATATTTTTGAATTAAAAGCAGGAACTTTAAAACCGATTTGTGATCAAAATTCAGGACAATCTATCATGCCATTTAACAATTTATACTCTAACATTATATCATTGTATTTATGCCGAGTACCTAATGGTACAAGAGTAAAAAACCGTAACTGTTAGCAATATCAGACTAAAAGCTTAACAAAGTTTGAAAAGCCTACTTTATGTCCAGTATTATGAATCGTCTTTGGAATTTATCAAGCTTTTTAATTTGACCTGACTGAGACGGATACCAAACTGGACTCAAATTCCTAGATAGACTACTAATATATAGTTAAGTGTAGTAAAACATTTTATAACCTAAAATTTAGCATAATTTCTTTTTATAAAATTAAGTAATCTCAACGCTTAGTAAAACTTGAATATATTATATGTATTGAAACTTGGGTCACTTAGGCCTAAGTCACAAACTTGATCCATTTGATTAATTAATTAATTATATATCATAGAACTTAGAATTTACTAGATTTATGAGGATGGAAAATAATATGAACACTTTTTAATATATTAATAGAAAGACCACCTTTACAACTATACGTTTAAAATCTAATTTTAAATTGTTAGCGTTAGCAATTTAATCTATTTATAAATAAATCCTTAAATAATCCAAAAAAAGTATTTTTCGATGATCAACAATTATTTGATTACCTACTCCTGTTATTACAAGATTATTTTATTCAAATTTTAATAGTAACTCAAGTAACTGCAGTTATTATAAACCTATAAATTAAACTTAATTAAAAATGTGTGATTACAAACTTAAAACCAAAATCATACTAAACATTTTAGTCTTAAATATCAATAAGTATGCAACATACATTATATGTGTGTGTGTGTGTGTATACTTACATAATGTACCTATATGCATTTTATATAAATATTAAATAGGTGTAATATATTGTATAATATTAATCTGATGTATGAATAGTTGAGAATTATAATGCTATTTAACTAAGAATTTCAATTATTATATTTTAATAAATTACTCTTTTAAATTGTTTTAGAATATTAGTTATGACTTAAAGTATGTAGTGAGTTAAGTAGGAATTTAGAGTATTTTTATTATAACTATTATTATATTTAATTTGAAAAATCATGTTATAAAACCGTATGTATTACCTACCTGATCACAGTAAAATATTTTTATACTAAAATATAAACAATTAATCTTCCTTAAAGTTATTAAAATTATGTTTCTTCTAACAGTTATAAGAAAAGAATGTTCTTATTTTGTATTATACAAATAATTTCAACAATATTATTATTAATACATTTTTATTCAATGTCTATTAATGTTCTGGTGAAAGGATGGTAACTTTTAAAAGTATTGTACAATTCAAACACTTTTTGATATAAGTGTTGTGGATAATAATTTTGTTAAATCTTAATAGGATTTAATATTTAATATTATTTATACAAACTGCTCGGAGACAGTACTGATTTCCCTTATGAAAACTATGATTAAAATTTTAATATTTAATATTGAAAACCATAAACTATTCTAAACAGAAGTAGAGTAGTTATATGTTAATGGAAAACAATAAACATATAGTAGGTACCTGTGAAAAATGATACCATATTCATAATTAATGTATATATTTTTGTATCATACAGATTTTTTAATGTATGTTTATGTTAAATACAATTTGAAAAAAAGAAAGAAAGTAGGTAACCATTCTACAATACAGTCGGAAGTTAATTGTATCTTATTATTATATAGGTCACCTAAATGGATATATTAAATATTATATACATTTTTAATTTTAAATGTTTATTAACAAATTTATGCTAGTGTATCTTGAATATTATTAAACGGATATTATAAAATTTAGGAGGAAAATTGAATTACATTTTTTATTTTTCGACCAATTGAAAATTACTTCTCCAAAAAGATTCAATTTTTTATCACTAACTTCCGTTATATTTAAAACGAAACATTTTTTTTACTACTATTTGGTATTTATAAAAAAAAAGTAAAATCAATATAATCATCGCTTTGTCTTAGAAAAATACGTCTTCGAATATTTTATAAGACCCAGCGGTAATGCGAATCTGAACAATATATTTTTGTATTTTCTATTGAATTCACATACCTAAATCCCTATCTACGTTCATTATTCATATTCTAGATCACTCGAGATATGCAGAACAATGAATAGATAGAAAGAATTGATAAAATGTATGGCAAATTTACTTTTTATATTTGTCTGTTCTTTCTGTTGTTCATTGTATGTTCTAAATTATAATACATTTATTACTGAAGGAAAAAAATATGATTGAGGGGATGACCATGCTATACACAAGTGGTTCTTAACCTGTGGTCCGCGGCCTCCTGGGGGTTTGTGGTACTCATGTCGGGGGTCCGCGACAGCTTTAATACATAACATATGTCAATATGCGACATATTGTAAAAGTAAGGTATTCGAAAAAAATTTGACAAAGTGGTCCGTGATTTCTAAAAATATTTGATCAAGGGTCTGTGATTTACAAAAGGTTATGATTGTTATAAATCACTGCTATACACCGTGAAAACGACACAGTTTGTTAGATTTCATCTGAGGCGACTAATATAATAATGTATACAATAACAATAATAATTTATATCCTCAGCCATTTTCCCGTTTAATTTAGAGGTACATTATATAATTTTAAATTGAAAATTAATATATATAATATAATATATATAGATTAAAGACGATAAACGGTGGTAAGTATAAATTCTATACAATCCATTGTGGTAAGAAAAGGATAAATTATTTACTATTATCAGATAAACATCTGAAGAATTTCTATAAATTTAACCAAAACAGTATTAAATTATAGACACACCACTATATTTAATTTTGGTTTTCATCTATAATATAGTGGCCGGCGGGGTACAGTGAGACGTGGAGCACTACAAGACAAGATTCATAGTTCCTATCAAATTGAATACAGGCTGAAATCGATGATTAAATAATTTGACAAGAATAATATAAACGTTTTAATCCAAAAATTAGATAGGTAACATGTTATCAGTGATACCTCGTTTTCACATATCGTATATATTATCATTTCTCACAGTTTTGTTTTTATTGATTGATAAATTAATAAAATATATTATTATAAAAAACACGTAAAATTACGTATTTTAAAGTATTTTATTACTTTTTATGATGCTTATCATCATATTTCTTGACAATTCGCAAACTCAAACTCATTAAGTACAAGGGACGCAGTGGCCAATGAGACTTGGACGATCACATCAATTATTTTCCAGCTTACATTTTAGTTAATTTTCTTGACAAATGTTTATATATTAAATATTTATTATAATTTATCAAATAGTTTAATCAAAAACGAATAAATAACAATATGCAAATGATTCTTAATGGGTAGGTAATTTCATTAAAGTACTTAGTAAGTAAATAATTAGTGTTTATAAGATTAGAAGACTACGTACCTTATAACTAAAGCGCGGGTTTCTATGCAATCACATATTTCTTTCCTTTTCACTTTTTTGAATTTTTGTCAGTTATTTTCTCGAATTATAACAATTTGAATCTATATAAATCTATACATTTTTTTTGCATATTTCTGCATATTTTACAAAATTTGAAATGTATTGCATATTACAGCGAACATTTTACACACTTAGTATATTTAAGTAATTTATTATTATAAGTTGTTTCTCGATCTTTCTTGTATCCACGTATTTACTGATAATATTAATAAAGTTTTATTTTTGAAATTGTTAATTTAGTAGGTATATTATTAAATGTTTGACGAGTAATATATACGCCATAAAAAGTTGCAT